AAGACCCTCCTCTTTGACCGTGCTTTCGATCTCCTTGCTTCCCCTCCTGCCCTCCACCCTCCCTGACCCCAACCCCCAACTCGGGTCTGTAATTCTGTCTGTCCAGCACCTTGGGATGTCCTCCTGATGTGAAAGAAGCTTTACAAATGTAATTTCCTTGTTGTTGTTGATTTTCAATCAATAACATAAATGCCCATAGAAATAGGTCAGCAATTGGTTTAAATCTTCCCTATTCCCCCTTCTCATTTCCTTCTCTTACTCTTTCTCTCATGAAGCTGCTGACTTGTGCTGGGCTGCAAAACCACAAGTGTTAACAGCCCTACATTATCCACTCCCAACCATCTATTATTCAACTGGGAGGGTGTGTCAGCAGTATTCGATCAAAGCGGAGCATTGAAGCTGAGACAGGTGCTATCCTTGACCAAAACTCACATTATGTATAGTCACTCTCTCGTGGGTGTTTGTGTATTTGTAGTGGTGAAGGGAGGGAGGAAATCCAAGAAAGCTTGGATAAACAAAGACTTTTGAGGCAGAAGAAAGAAAGAAGGAGGCCAGTCACCCACCTGTGCCGGCTCTGTACAGAGCTACCCAATCAGTCCCACTTCCCCGCTCTTTCCCCATATCCTTGCAAGTTTTTCCTTTTCAAGTACCTATCCAATTCCCTTTTAAAGATTGTTATTGAATCTGTTTCCACCACCCTTTCAGGCAATGCATTCCAGACTGTAACAACTCGCTGTGTAAAAAAATTCTCCTCATCTCCCCTCTGGTTCTTTTGCCAATTATCTTGAATCAATATCCCCTGGTTACTGACCCACCTCCCAGTGGAAACAGTTTCTTCCTATCTACTCTGTCAAAACCCCTCATAATTTTGAATACCTCTATTAAATCTCCCCTTCACCTTCTCTGCTCTAAGGAGAACTATTCCAGATTCTCTGTCTCTCCACATAACTAAAGTCTCTCATCCCTGGTACCATTGTGGTAGATCTCCTGTGCACCCTCTCCAAGGCCTTGATATCCTTCCTAAAGTGTGGTGCCCAGAATTGGACCCAATACTTCAGCTAAAGCCTAACCAGTGAGTTGTAAAGGTTTACCAGACCTTCCTTGCTTTTGTACTCTATTTATAAAGCCAAGGATCCAATATGCTTTTTAACAGTTCTATCAACCTGTCCTGCCACCTCCAAATACCTGTATATGTGAACCCCCAGGTCTCTCTGCTCCTGAACCCTTTTAAAACTGTACAATTTAGTGTATATTGCCTCTCTTCATTCTTCCTCCCAAAATGCATCCCCACACACTTCTCAGTGTTAAACTTTATCTGCCATGTGGCTGCCTATTTCACCAGTCTTTCTATGTCCCCAGTCTGCTACCATCCTCCTCACTGTTTACTACGTTCCCAAGGTTTGTGTCACCTGCAAACTTTAACATTTTGCTCTCTATATCCAAGTCATTTATGTATATATGGACCTAATACCTATCTCTGGGGGAACACCACTGCATACTTCCTCCAGTCTGAAAAACAACCATTCACCACTACCCTCTGCTTTCTGTATGCTTCCTGGTCAACACCCCCCCCACAATCATAGTACCAAACTGTTTCTTACATGAGACCAGTGTCCTAGATTTGGCCTTAATTATCCTTTGTGGTCATCTATTCCAGATGTCAATCACTCCTGTGAAAAAAATATTTCCTCATGTCTATTCTAAAATGCTTCTTCATAATTCTGCACTCTCTTGGTCTGCTGCCTTGGCAAATCTGAAGATTGTTCTGAGTTTACTCTCTATCCCATTTAGCATCTTATATAGATCTATAAGATGCCCTCTTAGCATTTCTTTTCAAGGCTGAGGTCCTAGATTATATAATTGTTCCTCATAGTTCATTCTTTCAACACTGGGGATGAACACTGTTGCTCTCCTCTGCACTGTTTCTGGGGCCCTCATTTCCTAGTGAGTGACCACAATCTGTACTACTATTCAAGGTATGGTCTGACCAGAGAATTGTATCATTGAGTATGAAATCCAGGGATCCGATCTCAACTGATTTGGCATCACACAGTCCAGCATCCTGCTACCTTTATTTATCGCTGCCTTACACTGTTTGGAGATGATCAACAAATGAATTACCTAATACTCTCGATTACTTTCAACTTTCAAATTCTACTTCAAACATATTTTTGGGGCCTTCCTGTATGCATGCATGATTTTATATTTATGGATAACAAACTTAATTTACCAAAGATCGGCACAAGCATATCAAGCTGTCGAGCTTCCTCCACAAACCTTTGCCGCTTCCCTGACTCCACATTAACTCTGTGTCATCTCCACTCTGAGATGCTGCCCCACATGAAGTGTGCTGTATAAATGCAAGTTGCTGTTGTTCCAAATTTATCTGCTGTTGCTTGCACTGAGTCTGAATCCAGATCATTAATGTACCAGAAATATGAATCATAAACAATGTCAAAATGTCAGTACAGTATTTCACTTACAAAGACATTTGGTTCACGGTCAGAGAATGACAACCAGGTAAATTAACCCCATCAGGAGTTGGAGTCGATCTCAGAAAACCACTACACTAGAAACATAACAATCTTATTAAAACGCAATTCATCAACATACCAAGAAACATACAAAATAAAATGAGCACCCTGATGTCTTTATTCATTTAAAATTTAATGTTTGAGATATTCTGTGCAGTGAGGCGTTTTCCTTTGCTCTCAGTTTTTCGTTGCGTCAAATCTGTCATGTCTTGAACACAGTGACCTGGAAGACTGAGACTGAGACTGAGAATCGCTGTTTTTGTTTCTTTGCACAATGTACCTCTACTGCTGGACCTCACCTGAAACCAGTCCATGCTGACATGTTTCTTAACTTGTTTCTCAAATGTTTTTTCCTCCCATCCCCACCCTGTCACCCCAAGGCTACATCCTTGGCCCCCTTCATTTCCTTATCTACATGCTCCCTCCCAGCGATGTGATCAATAAACATGGGGTCAACTTCCACATTTATGCAGATGACACCCAATCTACTTCTCCTCCTCCAGCTGCACTCCCAGTCATGCTGATGTCCAGTCAGCTTGTTTGATGGATATCAAGCCCTGGAGGAGGGCAAATTTCCTGCAGCTGAATGTCGGCAAGATGGAAGCCCTACTCTTTGGCTTCCATCATTATCTTCTCTCCTGAGGATCTGAACTCCTCAACTTCCCTGGGCTCTCCCTCAGACTCACCAAATGCGTGCGCAATTTAGGTATCAGGTTCAATCCCCAGCTTTCCTTTCTAACCCCACATACGTTCTCTGACCAGGACCGCTTTTTTCCACCTCCGTCACATTGACGGCCTCCGTCCGTACTTCACAACCAACGTGGCCGAAACCCTCGTCCACGTCACTTCCTGGCTAGACTATTCCAAGGCCCTCCTCGATGGTCTCCCCAGCTTCACCATACGCAAAATTCAATTAATCTAAAACTCCACTGCCCGGATACTTACCACACAAAACTCTATACACCCATCACACCAGTCCTTGCCAGGCTGCACTGGCTCCCAATTACCAAACAGATTGACTTCAAGATCTTCACACTAATTTTCAAATCCCTTCATGCCCTCACACCTCCCTATCCAACCCACTTACCGCCCATTTCCCCACCTGTTGCCTCCGCTTGGCTGGCTCTGGCCTCCTGTTTGCCCCTCGTCCCCTCCACTCCACCACCAGCAGCCGTGCCTTCAGCCACTACACTCCGAAACTCTGGAATTCTCCCTCAATCCCTCGTTCTTGCACCCTCCTTCCCCATTTTCAAGTCCTGTCTGAACACTTTCTTTTTTGATCGTGCTTACGGTGACCTTCCCCCTCCCTCTCTCCCTGGCTCGGTGTCAGACTCCATCAATGTCAAGAGGGATGCTACTCAGTGCGATGGGTGCTATGTAAATGCAAGTTGTTGTCATTAACTTAAATGCCACATTTCACCCACAAAATACACAGTTAACCCACTTTACAATATATTCTGTGAAGCGCTTTGAGACATCTCAATGACGTGATAAGACGCTATATCAAATGCAAGGACTATTATTATTATTATTAAGAAGAATAGCAGCTAGAGAGCAGGGCAGGATGGATACCGATTGTCCCTCTGTCTAACCTACTTTGCCCCTGGCAGTCTGTGGGTGGGATTATTCCCTCTTGAAATTGTTGTGAAAATTGTTCCACTGAGTGCTTGGGAATGCATTTCACAATATTCCGACCAAGCAAGTGACGATTGGGGGAAGAAGTGGGTCAGGAAGCATTGCAGGATGGAGAGCTCTGTGTGCACGTGTAAGATTCCTGTTAAAACCTGTGTTTGTGCTGTGAGTGTGGAGTGGAGGCGAGCACTGCCCCTCAGTGACTTTGGTCTGAGACCTCCCCAGCCCTGATTCAAGCTCATTGCCTTCTTCTACAGGAGGAGAGTGGGGGGGGGGGGGGGGGGGGGGGCATCAGCTGACAGGTGGAGAGGAGGAGGGAGGGAGAGAGTGAGAAAAACACGAGGAGCTAATGCTTGCCTTGGCATTGCTCTGAAGGCAGCGTTGACATCAGGTTGGCTCAGCGCTGCTGCCTGTGCCACTTTGCAAGAGCGACTCATCCCTGTTCGAGCACTCGCTCCAACGCTCCCCTCCTGCCTTTCATATGGGGATCAGAGAGTTTCCAGACAGCAGGAAAAACACCTCTCTCACGTAAGTAAAAGCTTTACAGCGAACGAGGAGACTGACCCTCCCCGGGAAGCTCACTGAGGGCATTGACACAGACAGACGTGCAAGACTTGAGCAATGATACATCCAGTTGTTCGATTGACGAAGTTGTAAACGCACATATAAATCTAAATCCTATGTAAAGTGCACACATATACGTGGTCAACTCACACGGATCAGTGGCTTAAAATGATGCATAGATCCCCCTCCCCACCACCACCACCACACACACACACACACACACACACACACACAAAGAGAAAGGTATTTACAATGTACTCACACGGTCACGGTGCACTGGAATCGACAGCTCTTTCAATGCAGACCAGTGGGGTTTATTGACGCTGCATTCGTTTTATTTCGTGCAGAATAATGCGAAGGTCTCCAGATGTGAGTCCCAGAAGATTGTCGGATATCAGCCCTCAGCTCCGGCAGCTCAAATACCTGGGGGTGGACGAGTCCATTAAAGAAGATCTCAAATCGTCCAGATCGTTTGAGGACCTGAACAGCGCTTCCATCGGTCTCACCTCCATAGAGGAGAGGATTTTACGAATCACTGGGTATTACGGCTATCAGCCCTGGACTGTCAGCTACACCAGTGAGTCCGACCTTACCATCTGCTCTGTCCTCTCTCCAAAGGAGGGAGTCGATGTGGGTTACATTAGATTTGATTGTGGTTTGTTTATTTCACAACCCGGTGGGTTTCTCTCCCCCCCTCTCTCTCTCTCTCTATATATATATATATATATGTATATATATATCTTGGAAAAAGGAGCAAATTTTGCAATTGATAAGTAAATGGTATTTCCTTCCAATGTAAGTGGCTTTGAAGTCGACCTCTGTCCTTCACCTGTGTGAAGTGCAGCACAGCTGTAGGTCGAGACTCTTGTCTTCTGTGTGTCACAGTCTGGGGAAACTTAAAAGTTTGTGTGCAAAGAGAGAAAGGATAGAAAGTGCTTGGACCCCAGACTCCTCTCCCACTTCTGGGGGTGGGGGGTGGGGGGGGGTCTAAAACGCCGCCTTGTGGCCATTGCTGGAATAGCCGCTTGGTTGGAGGATGATTGGATTGCTATTTTTTTTGCTGGAGTGCTAAATCCTGTCATTTTAAGGATGTTTCACCACGTAAATTTTTCATGACATGAATGTTATGCATTCTAAATGAAGTTGATAGGATGTGTGAAACACTCCATTAGTGGAAATATCTGATGTTTGCCAACAGTAATCCTTGATAAGGATTTCAACAATTTACTGTTACATTCGCCTACAAAATACACAGTCACTGAACTTTACAGTAAATCATGTGAAGGGCTTTGAGGTCATCCTAACATGAAAGGCATTATATCAAATGCAAGTTACTTTATTAAACCTGGACCTCCAACTCTATCTCTCTGCCTCCACCCTTCTCTCCAGCACCACTGCTGTCCTGACAGAATGTCTGTCAGACATTAAGTCCTGAATGAGAGCTAACTTTCTTCAGTCAAACGTCAAGAAGTCCGAGGCTCTCCTGATTGGCTCCCGTCAGTGCCTCCACACTTCAGGTGCTGACAGTATCACCATCAATAATAATAATAATAATAATAATAATCCTTGCATTTGATATAGCGCTTTTCACGTCGGGAGGACGTCCCAAAGCTCTTCACAGAACACACTGTAAAGTGAATTGACTGTATATTTGTGGGCGAACGCGGCAGCCAATTGCGCACAGCAATGTCCCACAAACAGTCGTAGATTGAAAATGACCAATTTATTATTGGTTTTGGTTTTGGAGGGATTATTATTAGGCTCTGTGTGGAGTAAGGAAACTTGCCCAAGGTTTCGCCCTCTGCCTGGAATTGAACTCAGGTCTCTCGCTTGCAAAGTGAGTGCTCTAACCACTGAGCTACAGGACTCCATGGTTGCACACTCCACCTTGCTAAGCCAGTCCGGAACCTTGGAGTCTTGTTTGTCCCTCAACTATCCTTTCTACCCCACATCCGCGCCATGATCCACTCTGCTTTCCTCCACCTCAGCAACATCGCCCAGCTCCGCCATTGTCTTACACTGCAGCACACCGAGACCCTCATACATACATTCATAACATCCAGGCTTGACTATGCAAACTTCCTGCTTGTCGACCTCACCAACTCTTCCCTCCATAGGCTGCAGATTATCCAGAACTCTACAGCCCATGTCATTTCCTCCACCAGGATCTGTGATCCTATCACCCCCATCCTCACCTGACTCCATTGGCTTCCCATCATACAGAGGATACAGTTCAAGATCCTGTTCCTCACCTTCAAAAGTTTCCATGGCCTTGTTCCTTCCTACCTCTGCGACCTTCTAAACCCCTACCATCCTGCTCACTCCCTCTGCTCAGCGGGCTCTGGTCTGCTTCACATCCCCCGCCTCACCCACCCAACCATTGGCAGGCAGGCCTTCTGCCATTCTGCCCCAACCCTCTGGAACTCCATCCCACAGTCCCTCTGCTGCACCCCCTCCATTGCCTTCTTCAAGACCAATATCCAGACCGTCCTCTTTGACCGTGCTTTCGATTACCCTGCTTCCCACCCACCTCCCAACCCCCTGGCCTCCACCCTCCCCAATCCCAACTCCTAGCTCGGGTCTGAAACGCTGACTGTCCAGCTCCTTGGGATGTCCTCCCGACGTGAAAGGCGCAATACAAATGTAATTTTGTTGTTGTCGTTGGAATGTCAGCTGCACCAGTGAGTTCCACATCCCTTCTCTCATGATTAATGGAGAGCTACTATGGTTTGAATTGTATCGTGTTTATTTCATGCTACATTTCATTTTGCTTCATGGCTGTTCGTGAGACATTGCTATGTGCAAATTGGCCGGCAAGTTCACCCACACAAATGCATAACTCCACTTCACATTAAATCCTGTCAAATTCTTCAGTTGCACCACAGCCTACCCTCCAGACCAGCAATCATTATCCTGAAGTTACACCACAGATGTGGTAACACAAAGTTTTTAGCAAAACAATGCATCATTCCCTAACAAGCGAATAATATGTTTTGAACAATTCATACAGGAATGAGTTATAATCTTGCAACAGATTTTCATGGTCAATTTAAAACCAGCTTAACAGGCTTTATTGCCCAACTAGAATTAGTAACACATTCTGTACTGAGGTGTCCACATTAAGCACAGGAGTATCATGGGTTAGACTCAGATTAAAATTTCATCCACTTTGCTCCAACAGCATACTTATTCACAGCCACAAGAGAGAACTCCTCACTGAAACAATACAATACACATTTATATAATAATAATCCTTGCATTTGATATAGCGCCTTATCATGTCTTTGAGACGTCTCAAAGCGTTTCACAGAATATACCGTAAAGCGAATTGACTATATATTTTGTGGACGTATGCAGCAGCGCACAGCAGTATCCCACAAACAGTCATGGATTGAAGGGACCAATTTTTTTTTGAAGGAATTATTATCCCCAGAAAAGCAATTCACCAATCAACTAACAACTGGGTTCCTATTTACTGTTCCACCATTCTATTACATCATGGCTGATGTACCTCAACCCAATTTTCAGGTCTTCTAGACATCTCAAAGCGTTTCACAGAATATACTGTAAAGTGAATTGACTGTACATTTTGTGGGTGAAATGCGGCAGACAATTGCATACAGCAGTGTCCCACAAACAGTCGTGGAATGAGTGACCAAATTTTTTTTTTTTTGAGGGATTATTATCCCGGAAAAGTGACCTGTCAATCGACTAACAACCGGGTCCCTACTTACTGCTAGGTAAACAGAGGCGTGTGGAGTAAGGAAACTTGCCCAACATTTCACCCTGACGGGAATCAAACCCAGGTCTCTCACTTGTGAGGTGAGTGCTCTAAACCACTGAGTTACAGGATTCCACAAAGTCCTGGATGGAGAGCCAATGAAGCCGAGCATGATCACGGAGCCTTGTGCAGGAGGGGACACAGAGTTCTGAGTAGTCTGCAGGTTGGGGAGGGCTCAGCTGTGCAGTCTGGTGAGCAGGATGTTGGAATAGTTAAGCCTGAAAGTGATAAAAGTGTGAACCAGTGTGATATTTCTATTTCCCACATCAGTTTTATGTTCTTATAACTTCTAAGTGAAATTGTCAATTGCATTTGATATAAAAGTCTTTCATCCCACAGTCTGGGGTGATTTGTCACACATACGACCATGCACTCTCCCAGGTTATTTTTCAGCCAAACTGTCTTAACATGTAAGACAAGAGTTGTATTAACTTCCACTTTTCATCACACAATACAAAACTGGACAGCAAATTCTTCTCTTTGTAATGTTTGGCACAGTGGGAAGTGGGAACCTTTTGGTGACAATATTACAATGTGTGAAAAAATAAATGAAGAAAACTGAGCTGATGGTAGAGCTGTGTCGAGGAGTCACGGGTTGTGATTCATCCTGTTTAAAGCTAACTCCTGATTTGTGCTTTGTGTCCTATCATGTTAAAACATCTCAAAGCACTTCACAGGATTTACTCTAAAGTGCAATGAATATTTTTTTAGGCAAACACGGCAACCAATTTGCGCACAGCAGTGTCCCATAAACAGCCATGAGACCAATTTTATTTGTGGACATTAAGGATCCTATAGCAGTTCGAAAAAGGGAAGAGCGTTTCTCTCAGTGTCCTCGCCAACAATACTCCAAATAGATTATTCACCTCCTGACTGTTTGTGGTATGTTCTGTGTGCAAACTGGCTGTCTCGTTTGCCTGGCTCAGTTGGTAGCTCTCTTGCCTCTGAGTCACAAGGTTATGGACTCAGGGAAAAAAAAGGACATTGAGTGCTAGGGGTGTGCTGCATTCTTTATATGAGACTTAAACCAAGGTCCCATCTGTTTGTTAAAGATCCCATGGCACTGCTCGCAAAGAGAAGGGAGTTTCTCATGCTGCCTGGAGCAACAATCCCCCAATAAAATAGTTCATTCATTTCATGGCTGTTGTGGGACATTGCAGTATGCAACTAGATTATGTGATGACACGCTATATTCCCAGGCCAGACAAAATCTTAGGCAACCTTACTCCACACACCCCTCTTACCTAGCAGTAAGTAGGAACCTGGTTGTTAGTTGATTGGCAGATCACTTTCTGGAGAGTAATAAACCGTTCAAAAAGAAAATAATAATTTGGTCACTCAATCCATGAGTGTTTGTGGGACACTGCTGTGCGCAATTGGCTGCTGCGTTTCGTCCACAAAATATACAGTCAATTCACTTTATAGTATATTCTGTGAAGCGCTTTGAAATGTTTCAATGACATGATAATAATAATAATCCTTGCATTTGATATAGCACCTTATCACATCTTCAAGACTATATCAAAGGTGCTAAATCAAATGCGAGGATTATTATTACATATCAAAATGCAAGGATTATTTACAAAATACACAACTACTCTTAACAGTAATTAGTGTGAAGCATTCAAGACATTTTGACATTATAGGCGCTACCTCAAAATCAAATGCAATTATAGCATTATATTGATTATATTGAAAGTCGGAAATGGGTGACTTTCCACCTTTTCTTTATGATGAGTGGATATAAATTGGGAAAATGTGCTGAACAACTTTTGTTTTTTTTTCCACTCTGTTTTAAAAACAATTCTTACAATTTGAGGCCTCATTCAGGTGCATTATTCACTGATGA